GAAATCGGGTTTCGGAGTTCCCCGCAGGTCTCTACTTACGAACTATACATGTATGTGTGTGTATTTATTTTCCTTCCCTTTGTGTTATATGTGTATGTTTCTTTCGTTTTCATACTCTACATTTGTTTCTGGTCTCTCAGGATCAAACAAACATTGATATTGACCTTGATCATTTCTGTTTTTATTACGTAGTAATATTCTATTGCATATATTTATTATATGTGATGCTGATATAAGGTACGAAAAAAAAGCTCTCAGAACTTTTATAAGCAATATATTTTTGGAGTCATATAAGTAATTGCAACAAATAAATAGTCATTTTAAAGAGCATTTAAAAGTGTATTTATTGTGTAAAAATAAAGGTTCAAACTTAAGGAGTATGAGGGAATCAATAAAGGAAGTTTGTTACATGCGTTTTCGATTCTCAAAAAACAACAATTGTTTAATGTTGAATAGTTAGAACTTTAAACAGATATCTTTCATCTTGTAGTCTAATAAGATTTTTTTGACGAGTTCTTATAAAAATTAGAAATTTATCACGTCAGTATCACTCGTTTTCTCTCGTGTCATTTCATTTACAAATGTGTGACAAATATAGATTATACACTATTCAAAAGAGAAGAAATTTTCCTATCAACTGATAAAAACATGTTTATCGAAAAGTTATCAAACGGATATAGAGATCACAATGTTGCACTGTTTTCTGAATCTCACGAATAATACGGATTCTTTTTAGGGTTATATACGAATCGAAAGAAAAGAAAAAGTTTTTATCGTTTGGTTAAAAAAAATTTTCTTTTAGTACCCTTTCATCAAAGAGAAATAGAGATGAACATTTTGTGGTGCCATTACTTTTGCACTATACATAATAAACAAAAACTTCCGAAAAACATTTAATGATATCTTCACATTTATATTTCTCTTATATTTTAAGTTAGAACCTTTATTTTTACTTAATAAGTACACTTTTAAGTGCTTTTCAAAATAACTATTTATTTGTTACAATTACTTAAATGACTGCAAAAATATATCGATTACAAAAGTTCTCAGAACTTTTTTCCTTATCTTGTATATATATATATATATTCGTGTGTGTAGTTAATGTTGTTCTTCTCTTCTATGATTATTTCACCATTGAAATAATCTTTATACATATAGTGTGAATCAGTTCTTGGATAGTGTCTATGTACATACAACACAAGTTTTCTGACGAGTTTTTCTATTTGTTGTTTAAGATACAAGACATAGAAAATGTTTAGCAGTAAGTTCAATTGATTAATAAGTCAATGTAGGACTATTCTATAACGACTTCATGTGTACCATGCATATCGGAAAAAATCCATTCGTAAAATCCTAATTTTTGTGTATTTAAGGACTTCTTTCCTCAGCCAAATTTCAAGGTCTTCAAAGAGTTCAACAAGAAAATAGTGATAAAAATCTCTTATGATTGATGAACGAAATTTGTTAATAAATGGAAGATCCATTTACTAATAAAATTTATGGAGTTCATCAATCACAAATGAGTTTTTTCATGAAACGTTTCTGTCAATCTGTCAAAATTACCTTAGTAAACGAGTCATTAACAAAAAAACACTCGGTCGATTTTTTTTACTTGTTCTTTCTTTTTTTTCTCGTTTCCTTTTAATATATTTTGTTTCTTCACGACCGTATTGTTCGATGGAGAAAAGCTCAATGAACACTTATTTTATTTGTGTGTGTTTAGTTGTATATAAAAAGAGAATGAGCATGTTTATATTGTTGAAATAGAACTTGTCATGAAGAGAGATTGAATGCAAATGAAAACTTCTTGATTAACATATATAAAACAACTTAACAGTACTTGACAACGTCATAGTCATGGCCAATAATATACTTCGAAAAGGGTAAACAGAATTTATATTTTTCTTTTTTTTGAAATTTTTATTTATTTTTTAAATCTAGAGATCGTACTGAATCAGTTATACCACCATCTACTGCACGTTCAACAACTACAGTAATTACTTTTAATCCTTCAAAAAAATCAAATAATACTGTATTTAAACCATGGACTTTAGCACAACTATGGATTGAAAATATTTCTAAAGAAACATCAATAAGAAAAAACTGGGAACATATGTATGGATGGATGGCTGATTATGATTCTAAAGTATTATTTTTATCGAAGAAAAAAAAAGAAGAAGATTAAATAAAAGAATATATTTAATTATTTAAGGGAAATTTTAATCCAAGCAAACGTACATTAGAAAATACTACACGTTTTTCTAATACGGTTTGTAAATGTTTTTTTTTTTTTTTGTTATTCAATTTTTTAATGAATTTTCTTTTTCTTCATCTTAAAGATTCCTAATTCTCGTGGTCGTGATTATGGTTGGCAATTACAAAATCCATTAGGAAAAGAAATAGAAAATTTACAGACACGTTATAATAATCAACATAAAAAACGTGTACGAACTGAAGTACTTGGTTATGATTGAAACAAAACAAATGCATTGTATTTCTTTATTTCTCTCTCTCTCTCTCTTTATACATATAATTGTAAAAAAAAAAAATCAAAGTTTTATTCCATATCGTAATTTAGCTGATCGAGATTTTGGATTTTCATCAAGTTCATTATCATCTGCTTCAATAATATGTTTTGTTTGTATATCATATCGTATTTGTTTTTCAGCTTGAGTATTTAATAATTTGTCATCAAAATTTAATGAAAATTCATCAGAATGTAAAACAATACCTTGAAAATGTCGTTTTATTATACGATCTTCTAATGAATGAAAACTAATACATAATAATATACCATCTGGTTTGAGTAGTCTGAAATAACATAGAATTATAAATAAATACATAATCCTCTTGTATGAATAACTGTCATATTGTTAAACAACTGATTTCAATTGACATCATTAATAAAAATTTATCTAACACGTAAAATTTTGTTTTTTGTTTTTATCCGTATATGTTAATTAATAGTATACATTTGTTTTCATTATTGTTCAAACAGATAAAAATATGTGTAATTCATGAGAGAACATCTCAAGAACGAAGATCCAGAAAGTCAAACTATTCAAGACTTCTCTATTATTTACTAGTACTCATCAAATAAACATCGTTTCGGTCAAAAAGTGATTTGACACTTAGAGAGGTTTTCTCGTCAGTTCATTTCTCTCATTATTAATATAGAATATCAATAAACAAAAATCGCTCGGGAATAATGAACATATGAAGTAGTATAATCGAAAATAGATGTCTAATATCGTTTGACTTCATATTATGGCTACGAGTAGATCTCGGTGAGACTAAGAAAAATTTAAAAAGATTTGAATCTATGATCTACTGTTGAAGAGTTATGATTGTTTTAATGAAATTTTTACTGAGGAGAAGACATTATTGAATATCTCGAGAAAGATATATTCGTTCTCATTGAAACTTTCAGAATTATCGAAGGACTATCAAACGTACCTATCAATTATAATTTCAGCTCGAAACTCTTTGTTTTTGATTTTTCGAAAATGCCTTATCCTTAGTAAAAATTTTATTAAAACAACCATAACTCTTCAACTGTAAGTCATGAGCCTGAATCATTTTAAGCTTTTCTTAGTTTCACCAAGACCTACTCATAGTCTTAATGCAAAGTCGAATAGTGTCTGATAGTTGAATATGTTTCTCCGTAAGTCAAGCATGTAGTTGAACGATTGCTTTTATTCTCTTCAGAATTCTTTTATATGGTTTTGTAGAACGATTCTATTATATCAAATCCAGTAAGGATTTGTATATTACTTACGTATAAGCTTGTTCAAGACCATTATAAAGTTCATTAAGTTCATCATTAACAACAATTCTTAATGCTTGAAATGTTTTTGTTGCTGGATGAATTGGACGATTTAGTTTATCAACATCCGATGCACTAGAATAAAAAAAAAAGAGAAAACAAAAATGAATCTTATCAAATAAGAATTTGATGTTAATATATAAACTTTTACCTTCCTCCTAGACCTATTTTAATTATACTAGCCAATTGTATTGTTGTTGAAATTGGACCAAATGTAGAACGCCATTGATAAATACATCGAGCAATTTTTCGATGACGTTGATCTTCACCATATAAACGAATAAGTCGACTTAATGTTGCTTCATCTAATTTATTGACAAGATCATAAGCAGTAATTGATTTTAATTTACTATTCATTCTCATATCTAATGGGCCTTCATGTCGAAAACTAAAACCACGTTTTGGATCATTTAATTGCATTGTACTAAAAAATTTTAATATTTTTATTTTCTCTTTTTTGTTGTTTGTATTACCTTGTACCAGCATCTAATAGAATTCCATCAAAAAAATTTTCTTTATTTTTAAATATTTGTTTTAATTCACTAAATTGACCATGAAATGGAAATAATCGATTTCTATGTTTGAAAAAATGAATATTTTATTTAATTTTTTTTGTGAAAAGTTTTAAAAAAAATTTGTTTTCTTCACACGGATATTCTTTAGCCATTTCATAAGCTAATTCAATTGCATTTTGATCACGATCAAGAGCATAAACTATTGATTTTTCATTTCGATTTAAAAGACCTTTTGTATGACCACCTGCACCGAAGGTTAAATCCAAGAATATCTAATATTTATTTAAAAAATTATATCTTTTTAAATAAATTTTTCTTTTTAAGAGAAGGCCTACTTGTTTTTCATTACGACATAAAATTTTCAGAACATGGTCAAGTAAAACAGGTATATGAAGAGGTACTTTCATTATTATCTATGTTTTTTTTCTACTTAATTGCAAAAGTATGTTAAAGAGAAGTATTAAAAACAAATTTTAAGTAAACGTTACAAAGTTTTTTTTTTTTTGCTTCTTTTACGATTGTTATTTAAAGAAAAAGGAATTAAACATAAAACGTTTCGTTTTTTCAATTTTAATGCAACATATTAACGAATTTAATCTTATCGAATATGTAAGTAAAAAGAAAAAGAAAAAGAATAAAAATTTTTATTTCTATCTAGAATGAATGAAAATAATAAAGAAACTTTTATTACAACATTACCAAATGATAATCAAGTCAAATCATTTAGCTTAAATGATGATGATGATAATATGAATATTGATGTTAAATCATCAAATGATTCAGATGATGGATCAATAACAAATAATGAAATTTCAAATAAACAAGAACATCAAAATGCATCACTAATTTCAATAGCAAATGTTGAAAGTATAAATGATACTGAACATAACATGTAAGAGAGAAAGGCTTTATTTTCTTATAAAAAAAAAAAAATCAAAATATCGTTTTTATTTCTTTAATAGACTCATTGATGAACCATCATTATCAATAATTGATGATCAAACACAAATAACTATTCCAAAAGCAGTTTATGATTATGCTGCAGTAGTTCGACAGACATTGGAAACTCCTCGTCAAACTAAATTAGCTCATGATGTTGCAACTGTACTCGGTTCGAATGATCCACCACCAGGCTTTGGTTTTCTACATCCTCAATATTACTATCTTGAACAAACTCGTCCTACTCCATTAGAACCTCTTCCAGTTAGTATTTCGATTTGTTTTTTCATTATATTTTACTTGATTTCTATGTTAATGGTGAATGAATGAAGGATTAAGTAGTACGAAAGAGAAATCAATTTGTATTCGAGTGTGTAGCACAAATTGTGACTATGCTCAACAACACTTTCTTTTTTTATACATACATAGATTTCAATAAAAGAAGAAAAAAAGAAGGAGAAATTGTCATGTAGTGAAACAATGTCTTTTGTTTTTTACTTGTAATTTTTTTTTTTTGTTTACATCAAATGAGTGAGAACTTTTTTGTTTCAAATATGTACATTTATATGTCTTGTTTAACTTAAATGGCCAGATATTTTCAAAATTTTTTTTTTTCATCTTAGTTGTAGATCAGGTTATTTTGTAAGTTTAATTTAGTGAAATATGCTGATTAATTAATTGACTTTAGAATAACTATTGATTATATGTGATACTTTTTTCTGTATCAAAAAAAGAGAAATCACAAGAATATCTTTATTTTGATTTGCTATTTTATAGGTTTGGCGAGGTTATAACGGACACGTTTATTTTTCACCAATTCAAGTACGTCAATTTGAAAATCAACGACTTATTTTACCGACAGATTCACTAAAATCGACCGAAATTCTAAGTGTTCCATCGATAAGAAAAATAGAAATCGAACAACGAAATACAATTTTATCAGACTCTAAGAATAGAAAAACTATTACAAACACAAATCATCATATCATAGAACGAAATTATAACGGACGTTCATTAACAAAGAAAAACACACAAGTAGGAACAAATTCAAATGTCAAATCAATAACAAGTAGTAACGAATTAAGATATCCCACAACAGTAACATTTATTGATAAAGAAGATTATAAACAAGAATCAATCGAAATGTGGCAATCAGTTGTTACTTGCGCACATGTTCAAACAAAACCAATATCAAAACGAAGTCGACATGCTATGGAAGATTTACAAGCTTTACAACAAGAACAATCATTACAAGATCCAACAGGTTATAATCGACAAGTTTTACCAAATATTCGACCTGTAGCAAAATCAAAATTTGTCTATAAAGGTTTAGCATATAAAGAAAGTCAAAAATTACCAGGCATTGGAAATGGAAATGGTAATGATAATGATGGTAATGCATTACAAAAGCCATTAGTTTCTTATAATCTTGCTCAAGCTTATGCTCGATATGAAATAAATGCTGCACGTGCAAAACAAGGCATTCGACAACCACCTCCAACTGCAGCAACTGCTGCTGTTTTAAAAGATCAACATTCACCATTACAAACATCACTTGATTTACGTGAAATGAGAAAACGTATTGTAAGAGGTACAACTCTTGCCTGTCGACCCCCACCACAATCAGTTGCATGGACACCAGGTCGAGCTGATCATAGATCAACATTAGGTTCTGAGGTACTTGTACCTGTACGAAGTTTAAACACATTGAATAATGCACCACTATCACCTATATCTCCATCACATCATAAGGAACATATCACTTTACACACTACATCAAATCTTTCACAACATTCTAAAATGACTTCAATAGACAATAATTTAAATATTGTATTATTATAGACTGCATATCGTCGTCCATCAACATCAAAATCGTCTATTCCACAAAAACAAACAACGGTTATTGAAATGCCAATTTTAACTAAAAATATTAGTCAACCACGAAGTTCTTCACGTTTTACGACTGCATCAGAAATGATTGCTGCTGCATCATAATGAATAAATATATTTATATACAGACACAATCTAGTCATCAGTTCATTTCCAAAAAAAAAAAAAAAAAAAAAATAAGACAGAAATCAATCAAGCTAACACAATTGAGTTTAATCTTTTTTTTAGAAATAAACAAAAATAAAATTTATTTAGAGGGTTTCACATAAAACTCATCTGAATATTATTTACTAGCAAAACTGATTTTTACGATTATAGGATAGAATATCTGAATGGTAATATCATCTAAAATCTATAAGACTTTCTAAAACAAAACAAAAACATATTAAGACATATACCGACACGAGAAGAAAAACAACTCGAAATCTTCAGACTCGAATAGTCGAAAAGACAGATATCGATTTTGATGAAAGTCATTCACTGCATGACACATAGCAAATTAAGATAAAAAACGACTGAATATCTAGTTGAAATGTATCATAATTTGTTCTTGCTAATTTTCTATTCCGTCAACAATTATTATCATTCACAAGGATTTAATTTACGCATAAAAAAAAGGATATTACACAATACAAAAGTGCAGTAATCATATCTGTAAAAAGATTATTAAGAGTTTTGTTTTGTTTTGTTTTGTTTTTTTCTCTTATAATTTGATGTGCATTCAAATGGATGGATGATGTGTAGAAAAACAAAACTAACAACAACAACAACAACAACACACACATACAGAACAATTGCACACATTCAATATTTTGTAATTTATGACATATAGACAAGAAGAAGAGAAACAAAAGAACATTGGAAATCTATTAGATTTCCTTTTATAGAAGAAAAACAAATCTAATGAAAACAAAAAAAAAAAACAAAAGCACAGTCTATCATCATTAGAGAGATACACACAATCGTTTGTCTTTTATTCGATATTTCGATACAAGTGGACTGTTCGATACAAGTATAGAAATGTGCAAAAAGATAAACGAATAGATAAATTTGCGTAGTAACAAAACTATTCAAGTTGTTAAGAATATTATTTTCATTGAATGAATTACGTACGAAGAAAAAAAAAACGAGTGTTCACTGTTGATATAAAAAAAGAAACAAGAAGAAGAAGAAGAAGAAAATAAGATGGAATTAAATGTAAGATATACATATAGAAAAACAAAAAAAAAAACAGACAAAAGCAAAAAACAAACAAATCAAGAAGATATAGATATATGTACGGAAGTGAATAAGAATAGTATAGTAGAAAAAGAACTCGTTTATATATAAGGCATGTCGACAAGCTATTAATTTTGTTCTTGTGAATGTATCTGATAGGTTCGGAAACACTGGTTGTCATTATAGATAAATCATGTCTAAATATAGAACGACATATATTATTGTATATGTTTATAAATTGAATATTCGAAAAAAAAATTCCAAAAGAAAATAAATCGTAATAACAAAAAAAATTGATTTCTAAATGTTGAATTTTATACAGGATGTGAAAATTTTGTCTATACTATGACATACATTATAGAATTACTAAACAGTGACATAGCGAGCTGATTGATTTTTTTCTTTTTATTACTGATGAGGGAAGCACCCGAACTGAAGTCTATCGTTTGAGCTCATATTAAGTTCACAAGAAGGTATGGATAAGACTAGAAAAATCCTATAAGGATTTGTGTTCATGATCGTCTGGAGCCATGTTATGATCGTTTTATTGAATTTTCGGTCTGAAATATTGCTCATCAATAGATCTGATGACTTTGTGAATATTTAGTCTTACTGAGATCTTCTTGTGAATCTAATATGAGTTCGAACAGCAAGCATCGGTTCGAGTAGTTCCCTTTTATGTTTTAATCAAAAAACAAAATGTATCATCAGATGCAACGTGTGAAAAATTCTACAAATTACAATAAAAATCTTATTTGATATATGCATTCAGTGTTTTCAAAATGGACAAAATTCCTTTTCTTATTTTATCTATTAAAAAATAATCAAAATTTTTAACTTTATCCCTATTGTATATTATTCTTAATATCATCTGATACATAATAATCCAAAATATTAAGATCAAGACTATTTGTTAGTCGTCTATGATTGCTAATAGCATGTATGAAATTCTTTTCACACTATGTCAATAATTCCTGATGTGTATATAACGTAATGTTGTCTTGTTGATAGATGAGGTTACCGTCAAGAAATCATTAACCTTCAGATTATACATGTGGAAGGACAACTTCAATATAATTTTCATATGATAAGGTTTCATCAAGTTTAAGAAGACGGAAAATGATTATTATATATACTTAACTAAATGATAATTCTTTTTGGATATTTAACCTTTTGGTTTATGCCTTGCATATTCGTCTGCTTCCTGTTGACTTACGACATAAACACGTTTCAATGAAAAGTATTTTTCATCAGTAAATCGAGCTGTCTTCGATCAATGAGAATTGATCATTTGCGAAAAAAAAAAATGATTTTATTCACAGTATCGAAAAACCGATTGCATAGATCATTTGTAGATCTTTTCACATGTTGCATCTTGTAGTATAATGTATACTAAAGAAAAATAGCAGCCAAGCATTTGGAATCATCGATTACTTTTCGTAATAATCATATTGATTAATATGAGATAGTATGATGATTTTTATATAATATTACATTTATAAGCATAGCTATTAAAATCTGAACTTCTATCTATTTCTCATTGCCATGGTAAATTCTTAACAATCATAAATGATTCTATTTCACAAAGCGACACTCATTTATATTTTATTGATAAATCTCTTCATCATTCAAATAGCAGATAACAAATTGAATAACATTTAATTTTCTATTTAATAATCTCATCAGCAAAAATTACAATTGTATCATACGTACAATATATTTGTTAAATATACTATATAACAATAAAGTCATATATCATTCTTTTACAAACTTTATTCATATCTTGACAATGAGATTGACTTTTATCGTATTTTATTAAAACAAAATTGTACTGAAAACTTTTTTTTTTTACAACCTCAAATAATATATCGATCTGATTTAAATTGACTATAATTTACCTCTCGGTAGCTTGGTTCAGCTTGTATCATAAATTCATCAAAACGCATATAAAGTGTTTCAAATGTAGGTCGATTATCTGGATTATCTTGCCAACAAGAATACATTATTTGATAATAATGTTCATGACATTCATGTGGCTGAAAAATGTGATCATTAATAAATAAATACAAAAACAAAAAAAAACAAAATCTTACTTTTGGCATTCGATAACCATTCAGTACTGTTTGTAATGCTTCATTATTTGACATTCCAGGATATGGATTTGAACCATGTGTAATTAATTCATATAGAAGAATACCAAAACTCCATACATCAGATTTCGTTGTATATTCTTTTTTTGTTGCTGCTTCTGGTGCTGTCCATTTAATAGGAAATTGTGATTCTCTATCGACCATTAAACGACCACCTTGAAGAATTTTTGCTAAACCAAAATCACCTATTTTTACAACATCTAATTCTCCAACAAGAATATTTCGAGCTTAAAAAGAACAAAAGAAAATTTTTTTGTTTTTTTTTTGTAATTTAAAATCAAAAATTTTACCAGCTAAATCACAATGAACATATCGTTTTTGTTCAAGATAAGCCATACCTTTGGCAATCTAAAATAAAATTTTTGATGGTTTTTTTTTTTTTTTTTATAAAAAAATTTCTATATTCTTTACTTGTGCAGCAAAATCAAGTATAGTTTTAAATTTTAAAGTTTTTCCTGGACCATCACGTAAATAATTTAATAAACAACCATGTGTCATATATTCAGTAACAATAAATATTGGTTCTTCTTGTGTACATACACCATATAAACGTACAATATTTTTATGTAAAAGATCTTTCATTATTTTTGCTTCATCAAGAAATTTATCAACATTACATAAACGATTTTTATTATCCATTTTCATACATTTTATTGCAACATCACGTTGTCCATATTTACCTTTATAAACTTCACCATAATTTCCACGACCAAGTAAGTCAGTACGTTGAAGTTGTGAACGATCTAATTCTAATAAACCATGTCGATCAGCTGGAACAGTTGGTTCTATTTTTCGACATGGACGTGTTAATAAACAACAAAGACCATCAGCATTTGCTTTACAAAAAGAAAAATATTTTTATATAAGAAAATAAGAAAATTTTTAATTCTTTACTTCGATAATGATCAACAAGATCTTGTAATGTTGGAAAAACACTTTTACTACTAATATAATATAATCCTTGATCAGTTCGACGTATACGATAATGTTTAACATGAAAATGTTTATCTTTACTTAAATCAAGAACAGATAATGATTCTTGACCTATAGAAGAAAAAGAAATATATATCAGAATTAAATTATCAAAAAAATATATTCTATGAAAATATACCTTGGTTTGTATCCGAAGGTCGAATCAAAAAAGTTCCTTTTCCATTATGTGGTTGTTCAAGAAATCGTTCAGCATCACGACGATTTGTTTCAGTAAAATACCATCTAAATATAATATATATATATATTCATTAATCTTTGAAGTTTTTATAACTTACTCGCATGCTGTTAAATCATTTATTGCTGATATATAATTGGCTGGTACATAACCACTTAGTTTTGTTCGTAAATTTTTAGCTTGCCACCAATCATTAAAACTAAACAAAAATTTAAAATATGTATATCATAAAAAAAAAAAGAAAAGTTACTTACGAATATCTATCAAGTATTTCTAATCTATCACCTTTACGAAAACTTAATTCACCAGTTGTTGATGTACCATTAAAATCATAATTAGCTACATAAATTAATTTATCTTGAAAATAAAAAAAAAGAAAAAAAAGAAAATCAATTAGTTTAATAAAGAAATTAATAATTTTACTTGAATTATAATTATTAGTTGTTTGTATTACAGGAGTTCCTCCATAACCATCTGTATATCGATGAGTTGTAGGTGTTTGTGGTTGATTTGGTCTTCGAGTTACATTTCCACTAGTTTTAGGTTTTATAGAACCATCTCGACGACTATCATCTGAATATGTATATGAATTATCACGTTGTTTTCGACGTGAACTACCATTACGATTTCCCATGAAAGAATAATATTCAATTTAAGATCGTAGATAAAAACTATTGTATGTCATAGATAGATGTATGAAAATGTTTCGTTTGGATTATCTGGAAAGTAAATAGACGAACAAATTAACTGACAATGTCAGATGTTGCTCTCTCTCGTTTTCTCTCTCTTTCTCTCTCTGTCTGTTTCTCGCACGATATATGTTCAATTAAACGAACGGATTATTTTAACCAATAAGATTTCTATGTCAACCTTTATGTTGTTTTTTTTTTTCTATTCGAAGATTTTCTAACAAAAAAAAAAAAGAACATAAGTTGACATAAGATAAATTTTTTTTTTTTCGTTTATTTTAATATATGACGAATCGAATAACAACATGAATAAATTCTTACAATTAGTGACATCTATTATTTCTTTTATTCGTATTTCTTTTTTTTTTTTCGTTTAATCATTCCAACGATGACCACATTGTACACATTTATAAAATGTTGTCATAGGTTCATCAGCTGAACGTGTTTGCATTTGCATAAAATATGCTTGTGTATGAGCACATTTTGGACATGTTACTTCTGTTTTATCAACATTATCCATTGATGCTGCACCACCAAGAACATCATCAACTGCTTTTAAACTTGTATATTGTCGATCCGTTATTTTAGTTACAATATCACATATATATGGACATGTATTACATGCTAAACGATTACATCGATCACCTTGTTCTACAAATAGCATATTACCACAACGAGGACCTAAAGAAAAATATAGAATCATTGAATTATGATTGATACACAAGATTTTTCGTATGATAAACTGAACTTGATTTAGTTGTAGAGTAACCTTCCATTCTAAATGTCTGTTTCTTACTAGTGGATTTCTAACGTTTTATTGTTTTTTCTTTGCTCACTAATTCCCAAAAAAAACTGCTTAACTCTCCCTTCTCCGAAAATTAGGTCAACTTTATCAAAAAAATCTTCTAATTGGTCTCTTGAGTCATCAATTTCTACACCCACTCCTACCAATCTCAGAACACTTCTGTTTAGTTATATCATTATTCGATATTTAATTTTAGTAAGAAACTAATATTGTTTAAGATTTTTCATATTCTATTGTCATTGAATCAATCAAACTAATTCAACGTCAAAGATTAGATAAACACAATATATATATATAGAAAAAAAAAGAAAATTGTTTTTTTTTGCAAAAGATAAAAATAAATTTTTATGACACATACAAATAATTGTTTTACTTACATGAGAACATTTCTAAGATGAGATTTGCTATTTAAGTATATCTATAGAGAGAAATCCAACAAGGATTTATTATTCCGAAGAAAGACAAAAAAAGAGACAACCTACATAAAAATTTTCTAATATTGGATTTGTTTCTGTTGTTGTTCTTATCAAGTATAACTAGCGAACATTTTTATTTGAAATGAAAATGATTAATGGATATATATATATATATCTTAGATAAAATGGATAATAATGAAATAAAGTATTCCAATTTTATTCAATATATCATTAAGTTTTCATATCAACTTACGATATTTTCTCGTCTTTAACGTGCTATCTATCACATCTCTCTTCAACATATACTAGATGATAAAAAATGTCAACCATGTCAGTTACTCTTCTAAAAATGCTATCGTCAGAATTTATGACTTGATTTACAGAATATTAACAATAGCTTTGTCTCTGTCATTATTATTATTTTTTTTTTTCTATAAATTAACATTATCATTAGACTTGTCAATGACTTTGTTCAATTATCTACTTCCTTTTAAATCTCTAGATGTTTTTTCTTTTCGTATTTTGTTCAATAAAAATAATCATTAACATTCTTTCTCTTCTATTGATTATTATTTTCTCTAGTGACATACAGAATAGAATAAAGAGGAAATCATCTATATTTAGAATACAATTGAACTTACAAAAAAACATTTATTTTTTCTTTTAAATCAGTTTGGTAAGACAAAAAACAAAAATCAATCTAAAAGAAAAATAATTGTAATAAATAATCATCAATATCAATGAATTGTATTGTAATTATTCAAGAATCAATGCATATAAATGCACATCAATATCTTGTCCATTTTTATGCACACGTTTACGTAATATTCCTTCAAATGTAAAACCACATTTTTCTACAACTCGCATTGATGCTTTATTCCAATGAAATATTTGTGCTTCAATTCGAACTAAATTTTTCCATTCATTTTTTCCTATTTCAATTACTTTCTTTATAACTTTAGGCATTAAACCACGATGTCAATATGGTTCACCTAACCAATATCCAATTTCTGTTCTCCTTTCATTTTTAATCGAACGATGTAAACCACATGCACCTATTAATTCATTATTAGCCTGTAAACGAATAGTAAAAAAACGTGTTGAATTTAATGATTCCGATTTGAGAAATTTAATAAAATCTTCACCATCATTTGTTGAATATGGATATGGTATTTTCAGTGTATTAGTATATATTGTTGGATTATTAAGATATTTAACAAATGAAGGAATATCTTCGTTTGTTAATAGATCAGTTATATATATTTCATCATCAATTTCATAACGACTTGATGTCATTGTATTCTGAAAAAAAAACAGAACAAAAAAAAAAAGGAAAAAAACTCATTTATTTGCTCGATTAGATAAAAAATACAAAATGCGAGTTTATTTATATATGATAGAAGACATAAAAAGAAAAATAAGAATGATGAAATGTTAAGCAAGTACTTTTTTACGTATTTCTTCAGCTTTTTTTTCATCAATTAAATGAGATAAAATTTTTAAAGCAAGTTCAATTGCTGTTGCTGGTCCTTGACTTGTAATTAAATGATGATTATTAATTTCACTATAAACAACAGCTGTATCCAGTTTAATTGATTTAAATTTATTTTTAAGTGTATTAACTGCTTCAGGATAACATGTTATATCATGTTTACGTGTATTTTCATCAGCATCATATAAATGTGTACTTAATGCTATAGGACCAGCACAAATAGCTGCAACTAATTTATTTGTTTTATAATGATCAACAAGAAGAGTACCCGCTTTTTTACACGATGCTATCTGTTCTGTACCTTTACTACCTAAATAATTAAAAATAAAAACACAACATTTTTTATGATTCTTGATTTTATATAGATTATACATACCTCCAGGTACAATAATAGCATCAAATTTTTGTCCTTGAACATCGTCTATATGTAAATCAGGTACTAGTTGAATATTATTAGCACATGTTATTGGTTTTTTATCATTTTTTTCAACACTACATAATTTTACATCGATACCACCTCGTCGTAACACATCGACCGTAGCCACTACTTCAATATCTTCGGAACCATTAGCCACGAATACTAAAGCTTTTTTGGTACCATTCCTAATAGAAAGATATATACATAAGTATCACATAACTCAACCTTTATCAAGTTGTTTCTTTTTTGTTTTTTTTTTAATACATAAGATTATTCGTTTTTGCACCACAAAAGATACATAGACACACATAAGCAGAAAAAAAAAGAAAGAAAGAAAGAAGAAAAAAAAGAAAGTACAAATTATCCTAGAGAAAAACATGTTGTTAATGTTTGAGATCATGCATATGCATAAATATAATTATTAATTTGTTGTTTTTTTCCAATTTATTTCATATTAACTGTAGGAAGTGTTCGTCGTTTAGTTGCTGTTGGTCTTATATTAGTTGATGATGATATTGATGGATGAATATTTGAAGATGAAATTATACCACTTGTTGGTTGATGATACATAGGACGAGATGATACAACTTGTTGGTTTTGTTGTTGTTGTCGTATAGCAGTTTTAGGTGTTTTAACTAATTGATTAGTTTTTGTTTGTTGTGGTAAAGCAGTTGCTGAACGAAATTGTTGATGTTGATGAGCTGGCATAGGTATTTTATTATGTTGTAATGATCGTATATTATTTGTTGAATTTATTTGTGATTGTACAATAACATTTGATTTTCGTGTTGCATTTATCAATGATGTTGATTGTTGAGAAATTTTTGTTGCAAAATTTTGTGTTTGTGGTAAAGATATTTTTGTTTTTGGTTTTTGTTGTTGTTGTTGTTGATGATGATGATGATGATGATGATGATGATTATATGATGGAATAGATGGTATTGGACGATTATTATTAGTATTATTTGTAACTGGTTTTGTTGTTGATACTGATGATGATGATGATGAACGTGATGCATTTTTTTGTTGTTGTTTAATAAGTGTTTGAAAAGTTTTTTCAATTTCTTTTTCTTGTTCCATAGCTGATACAAAAACATTTTTTAATAATGTTGAATGTTCAGATTTTGATGTACGTCGTATAACTTGTTTTTTACAACGATCACATAATATATTTATTTGTTGATTTGTATTTATATGTTTCCACCAACGTATTGTAAAATCTGTACCACAATGATCACATATATGCGGTTCATCAATATGTGCACGATCAGTAAAACGTTGTGGTAAACGTTGTCGATCAGTTTGTAATTCATATAAACATTGTACAACATCTTCAAGACCAATATATGGTTGAAATTCAAGACTAGTTGGATTTGGTATAAATAATATATCTCGTAATAATGGTTTTGGTGATGGAATATTTAATAAATCACGTTCAAGTTGTGTACGTAAAGCTTTTTTAGCTTGAGTTTTACGTTCTTCAAGTGAATAAATTGTTGATGATGAAGTTTTTGTTGGTAGAGGTGTTGGAATTTTTGTTGGTAATGGTGGATTTATTGAATTAGATGGTTTACGTGTAGCTGATGTTAATGATTGTTGAAGAGATGTACGTGATGATGAATTAGACAATGAAGTATTAGGTGTTGTAGGTTTAGTTGTTAGAATACGTGTTGCTGTAGGATGAAAACCATTTGTTGTTGTTGTTGTTGTTGTTGTTGTTGTTGTTGTTGTTGGTAATATATTGTTATTTGTTCGTGTTGCTAATTGTTGACATGAACGTAATTTTTTCAATATAACTAAATTAGCTTCTTCATTTCGTAATTCTTGTATTATTGAATGAAGTTTTAAACGTTTTAATGAACGTATATTAATATCATTAATTTGACTATTAGTTGATTCAGGTGATAAAGGTCGTTTATTCGACATAATAGGGTTCTTTTCTTTTTTTTTTTTATCTGAAATTCTTTTCGTTTTTGAATATTTATTTTTTAACAAAAAAAATAATTTGTTTGTTAGGGATTTTTTTTATTATTGTATATATGTATTTGTTTATATGAAAACAAAAGTAATTATTAATAATACATACCATATATTGATTGAACGTATAGAAATTTGATTAATTGATTGTTTTAGTAAAATTTTTCCTATCATGATATATCTAGAAAAGGAAATAAAACGTTAAGAGTTACGATATTGAAGAAAATTATATATATATACGAATAGATTTCATCTTTTTCTTTTTTTTTTTAAAAAAAAAAAGATAATATCGTAACCGCGTGACTGTACCTGTATTGTGAGCGTGTGTGCAGTACAGCAACAGTAGGAGAGCAAACAAGAAGGGTAAAACTTAATGGGGCCGCTACCAGTCAACTAAGGAGGGTAAGCAACCCTTCATCTCCTTCTATCATCCCTCAATACGGAATTTCGTTCTTTCTTTCCTCTCTCTCTCTTTCCGTCGTCATTGCCGCCGCCGCCGCCGCCTCGGTCAGACCCGAGTTTCTTGTTTACTGACGACCGAAGGTATTTGGCTCTACTACAGAAAGCAAGGAATAAGAAGAACAAAAAAAAAGGACATTATAATCATCTCACCATCATCAATGATTCAATTTGAACTTCATGAAAAACTCGAATTTCTCAACAACAAACGCATACACATACACACGCACACACAGACATACCTTATAGCGTTTAAAAAAAGAAAGTAGTTTTGCGATGATGGCAATAAAGAAGCCAACATTCACATACACCTACGCATACAGGCAAACACAGAAAAAGATCGACGTAGACAGAAGTCTAAATAGAGAATAGTCGAGTGAAGAAACAGAATACGATGACGAATGTAAAGGACCCGTTGAATATGCGAGCGACTCCGTGCAGAGAAATGTGATGATTTGTTTCCTCAAGCGTGCAAAAAAAAAAGAAAAAAAGAAGAAAGTAGACAGACCCAATATAGACTATGAACATCAATTGTACATATACATATGTATATGTCATTAAAAAAAAACGAAAAAAAAAAAAAAAGAAAAAACTAACAATCTTGACAATGATTCCCATATTGTAACTAATTAGATTCGAATCTTTAATCTTATTTAAATGAGGGATAGAAATTCTCAATTAATATTCTTTCTATTGTTCATTAAAATAATCCTTCTTACTTTCTTGTTATTATTATCTTCTAATAAAACAAAAATCTTTGAGATATTTAAATATGGATATAATTCAGTTCATCAAATATCTATATAGATAACAATGAATAGATCATCTCATAACGATACTCTTCTTGATGGATACACAAAAGCGAACTACGATCATGTGCACTCTGAATTGGCTGGCTCGTTTACTTGCTTATACTCTCGCAAGATGGAAAATGGATGGTGATGGGAGGGGGAGAAGAACGCAAAAGAGAACATGCCGTGTCGAACGCCGACTACAAACGACGCCTGTTTCAACAAAACGATTGACCTCTTACTGTCGACAAGAAAAGAAAAGAAGAGAAGAAGAAACGCGAATATAATCATAGTCACTAGTCTGCTAAAATCTTTAGATCTCGAATAATTTATTATTTCATATAGATATACATATCGTTTATTAAATAGATATCATTGAACAATAGTCGAAATTTATTGAAAAAAGAACACATGAAAAACCTAAAAAAAAACTCAAATCGAAAAATTGAATTTTTTTTTTTCGATTCGATTTTTTTTCATTAAAATAAAAAAACACAAGAGATAAATAACAACTTATCCGAAAAAAAAAATGTTAAATCCTTCGTACAGAGGGCGGAAGAACGAAGAAAGAAAGAGAAAGGAAAAAATGACGATTGGAAGATCATTGATCCAGTTGTCTGTACGATAAAAATCTACGAATAGACCAGTGGCGGCGCCTTGACATTGTAAGCAATAGAATACAAACAATAAGAACTTGATTTTGTAAACAAGTTTTCACAAAAATGTCAGAACCATCGTTTTCTAGTGCTCGTCGACAATCTTTATTTGCAAAATATAGACATTTTCTAGCAACACCATTCTTCTTTGGATTTTCAGCACATGTACTCTCACCAACATCGTTTCCTCGGTTTGATATTTTATCAACAAACTACATATATAAATATATTTCATTTTATTCCTATTAGCAGGCTTATCGGCTCTCGGCTAGATTTACCTTTAACCGATGCACTCTGGTTTGGATCTCATGCTGGTATTACTATGTATTTATATACTTCAAAACATTTACAAAGTACTAATCCATTTGAACGTTTATTATATAGGTAGGATAAATTAAATGAATAAGAACATTTTGTCAAATCCTCAAAAAAACAAATCGTTTTTTTTTTTGGTTTAGTATTTATGGTTCAACAATGTTTAATTTTGGTACAGTTTTAGTGATGACACTTATTCGATCAATTTTTCCTGATAAAGAAGCTCTTCGTTTAGGAATTGGTTTATCAATTAGTGGAGGTTTATTATGTATTGGACAACGATATATTCATTATATTGATGAAATTTTTGATGCAATACGATTTCGAACAATAAAATGATTGTCGAAAAAAAAAGGAAGACATTTATAAAATGCATGCTATTATATATCATATTCAATTAATCTCGATATTGTCAAGTCTTTACCCATCTTAATAGTCATTGGTATGAAATTTTTAAATATTGTCTTTATTTTATTTTATAATTTTTAAATGTTGAAAAAAAAATGTTTACATTTTATTTTGTTTTTTTTTTTGTTTTTATACAATAATTGAATCATTTGTATAGATAATTCCGTTACGTAGAATAGGAAAAGATTGATACGGTATTTCAATATCACTATCATCACCATGTGAAGTTGAAACTTTTTCATATAAATATGGTTCTTGATCATAATGAAGACGAAAAGGTGATACAGATGAATGAGGAAAATTTTGTGGAATCATAGAAGGTTTTTCTTCATTGATTGTTTGCATTATATGATTTTGATTAACATGATAAGCATGACTACTATCATAATCATCAGTTATATTTGATTGAAGATCTTGATTAATAATAGTTCTAATATTATTATTATTATTATTTTTTTGAAATAAATTTTTTTTTTGTTGTTGTTGTTGTTGTTGTTGTATATTCATTTGACGAAGTTGTGGAAGTTGATGAAGATTATTTGGTAAAGATCGTTCACGCATAATAAAACGAGAATTATATGATTGTTTTAATTTTAATGTTGATCGACGTCGTTGTTGTTTAAGATATTCATGATATTTTCTTTGATTTTCATTTTCAATTGATTTATCATAAGTATTATTATTACTAAATATTTTAGAAATATTATCTGGAGATGTTTCACTTGATGTTGAATGAAGATCAATAAATAAATATGATTTTAATTGATTAACATCAAGTTTTGATGTTTGAAATGAATTTAAATCATTTAAATAAGCATCTATTATTGATTGTTGCAAACGACGTGATGGTAATCTATCAATTGATGAAGTTTGATCATGTTCATAATAATTTGAAAATAAATGTTCAGTTGATCGAACAGAATATGCCGATATTGGTGTTATTGATATTGGTATAATCGATTGTTGATTATTTTGTATAGATAACGTGTTTTTGTATTTATTATCATGTTTATGTCGACATTTGAATATCCGTCCTTGATGAGAATAATGTCGATAACAAAATATAATAACGATTATTATAAAAACAAATGTAAGAATTGAAATAATACATAATAGAGCTATGAATGATGGTTGAGAAATATCAAATGATGATGATGATGAAGAATCAGTTTGAAGAATCTTTCGACTATAATGTGATTGAGAAAATTCTAAAATTGATATAAAAAAATATATATATTTGGTTAATTTAAATTTATTCTTTACCGTCAAATACATTATTAACCATGAATGATCGTTGCTGAATCTTATACAAGTTAATATTCATCCAAAAAACATAAAAAATGGCTTGACTTTAAGTTGAAAAAAAAAGCATAGAGAGACAAATATAAACAGAATTTTTCTTATGAAGGTTTTCTTGTTATTACAAAAATTGACTATCGAAATGAATAAATTCAACATTGTGACTGTTAATTATTTTCATATAAATATGCATGTTCAAGGATAAGATGATAAAAATTTCTACACAAATATAGTATTCAATATACTATTGTTTAAAATAATAAATTAATTATTCCATAAATTTACTTTGTAATACAAGTTAATTAATGAAAACCTTTACAAGACGAAAGAGAAACGGTGTTACAGTCAACATGTTATATTTACATTTCTTCATAATGTACTGACGAATAGAAAAAAAAATGTACAAGGAAAAAAAATGTTGTGTATGTATGTATATAATGAACAAGCATTTAAAAAAAAAATCATATTCAATAACGAAGTCTGTCGAGAGCCTTTTATGTTCAAGATGTAACCTTGTCATTTAAATGAACAATTCCATGAGATTACTTCTATATTCATCAAATACTTCATTGAAAAGTAAATATAAAAAAAAACCAGTTTGTATATTATTCAATCGTACATTTTACCGAATCGATTTTCTTCTGACTAAAGATGTTCGAGGCTGAGATAACAAAAAATTCAAGAGGAATGAGCAATTAATCAAAGCAGGAGTATTTAAAACTTTTTTAAAAATTCAATCCGCATACATTTTAAATAGTTTCCTCTAAGCCGGAACTGAGACTAAAATAAAATATGGTCTCGCACATCGCTGCTCCATACACAGGATAATTGTGCAGTAACCTAAATTAAAATAATACGATTTCATAAGTTTCAAATAAAAATAATTGAATAGATCAGTGATGTTCTTCTTATATGATGATTTTAGTGAGTTTTTTCAACAAATCGATTTTCGAGCTTAAATTTTGAACAAATAAAATTCTCATTGTATATTCTTATCTGTGGATAGAAAATACTAGAAAGT